TATGGATAGTGCATAGCTATAAAAATATGAAATGCTATTACTCACCACAAATAGACTTGGAGATCATGATGTAGAATAAGATAAACCAGGCCCAGAAAGAACAAGTATCCATGATCTCACTAAATCTAAAAACATTAACCTCACAGAATAGAGAGTAGAAAGGTGTTTACAAGAGTAGAGGGAGGGAAAGATCAGGAAAGGTTGCACAAAGTACAGTTTGATGGGGCTGGAGGAAGAAGTCTAGTGTGCTATTTGCATGGTAGAGTGATCACAGAGAACAGTAGTGTTCTGTGCATTTTGAAACAATAGAAAGGATTTTGGGTATTTTCACCACTAGGAAATAATAAAGCCAAGTGTAGTGGCACACACCTGTAAACCCAGCAGTCTGGGAGGCTGAGGCAGGGGAAATATAAGTTCAAGTTCAAGCTCAGCATGGACAACTTAATAACTTAGGAAATCTTGCCTCAAAATCAAAAATAAAAAGAGCTAGGATTGTAGGCCCTGGGTTCAAGCCCCAGTACATGGCTTCCTACACACATGCAAAGAATTCTAAATGTTTAGGGTGATAGACGTGTTTACTCTTTAAAGATTTTGAAGCTACAGGGAGAGTGCCTATCTAGTATGCACGAAACCCTGGGTTTGGTTTCCAGGCCATACACACAAAGAACAGAACCCCAAAAATCCCACAAAATTGCTGCCTATTCATGTACTGAAACATCACATGGTATCCTTAAATGTATACAATTTTTATGTCTTAATTATTAGTTAAAAAGACAAATTTACAAAAACATTTATGTTCTTAAGTGAACTTTTAAAAAATTAGTATAAGAGACTATAAAGTGATTGATTTTATTTGTATTATTTCTTGGTGAAGTGTGAGACTTTGGTGTCAAGTAGACCTGTGTCAACGTTCCTGCCTTTTCACCTATGACTAGGTGACCCTGGATGAGTCACTTAAGCCTCTGGAGCTCATAAGGAGACCTTTCCTGGGATCACGCATGAAGAATTCTCCACAGGAGAAATTCATGTTGGACAGCTTATTCTTGCCAAATTCACACTGCCCCTCCTAGGTCCTCATGGTCCAGGCAGAGAAGGTGCTATCACAGAAATGAAAGACTGGAGGGTAGGCTGAACAGCTTGCTCTGGTTTGCCCCAAACATTTCTCGATTTGACTTTGAAAGCCTCAGTCCTGGGTAAACTAGAACAGCCTATTACCCTAATAGAGCGACAAGCACAGGTCGAGGGCTCCTGGTTCCCCAGCCAGAAATAGGACACAGCCCTACCCTATTGTTCTCAAAAGGTCAAGTGGCAGAATAAAACAAGCATAGCTTCTGTCACAGAGGGAACAGAAATTACTTGAAGTTAAAATGAGTCCATCATCTTGAAAGGCTGAGCTATCAGGGGAAATTGGGGTGCCTGCCTTCCTCCTCCCAGTTGGTGGCTGGGAACAGATTTAGAAAACGTCCTTGTCCTTTGGTATCAACTTCACCCGAAAACCCCTACCCTCTCCCAGGTTGTTCAAGGTTGGTATTTACTGATAACAATGGCAAAGTCTGTAGTTAGCTTATTAGCTGCTCTGAAATAGGGATCTCACTGGAATGAAGAGCAGTCCCCTGTGAGTGTATTTCATCACCCTTATTCACTGGGGTTAGTCATTGTTTAAAAGTGACCAAGCGAGTGGGAACGCTGGTGCTTGGCAACCTGAGCCGCAGGACTCACGACAGGACTTTTCATGCCAGTTTTGTGTCATCAAGGTTTCCTCTCAGCTCCAATTATTTCACCATTTTCCTGAAAGAAAAATATCGTCCCCTGGGCTGTAGGACCCCCAAGAAGTAAGCTAGTAAGGCAGAAAGTGGGGAAGGCTTTACTGGGAGCCTCCTCCCTGCCTACAGCATCCCAGGGCTGCTGGGCCTGCCCAGGGGCATCCTCAGCCTCCAGCTCTTCGCTTCCTGCTAGAAGCCAGGAAACAGCCTCAGGCATGCTTCTTTGGAAAGCTGAGGTTTTAGCCCCCAAATATTTAGAACTTGAGTCATTCGTCCCAAATCCCATTAACTGACTCTGAAAGTGTAACTTCATGTTTAAAGTAGTATAACGATCCTTCAAAGTCCTTCAAAGCCCAGAATTCCTCTCCCTTGCAGGGCACTCTGTCAATGGGAAATGAGTGTAGTCTCCTGTGGCCAGTTACTCCCTTTGATCTGACAGTTGACCGTTGGCATTTTTTCTCCTGCAATTTCAAGTGCATTGTCTTTCCTTAATCCCGTGGGAGATGTTTGACCACTCTGGTGGCCTGGCATCCCTCCCAACACCTCAGAATAGCCATTTCCCCACTGTGGACAGCCCAGGCAGGGTGCTCCCAGGTGAGGGCGGGACATCTGCTCCTCCTAGCCTTTCTGTTACCCTTCTGATACAGCCCAGAGTGGCACCAGGCCCGGGCCTGGTCAATGAGACTTCCTCTCCTGAGACCTTATTCTCCAAGACAGTGAGCAATGGGAAGTTGAGCAACTCTGGACTTCAGCCCCCTCAGATGCCACTCCCAGAGTGGCTCAGATGCTGCTTGGCTTGCCAGGCTCTGGCCTCCGGTCTCACATATCATCCAACCTATGTGTTCTGCACACATATGGCAGGAGCCCAATGTGCCAGGGGCCTTGGTACTGGGTGGGCACCTGGTACAGGAGAAAGCCAGTGGGGCTGCTGCAGTTGGGGCTTTGCTCATGAAACCGTCTGGCTCTTTGGGATCTGAAACAAATTTAAAATTTAAAAATTATTTTTTTTTATTAAGCAATGCATAAACCTGTTATAAAATTCAAAACGCATATATTAAACCCAGTAAATGCCGATTTCTGTCCTACGCCCATCCCATCCCCTTCCTTCCCTCCCCCACCCCACCCGTCTTTGTACCCTTCCACAGCTAACCCACAGCCAGCACTGCGGAGAGCTGATGTCATGCAAAAGATCCGCCTACTCACATTGCGCCTCACTCTGCTTTTTTTCCTGCTAAGAATACAGCTGACAGTCACTCCCCAGTGCAGACTGGATGAGGTGGCTGGGTGTTTTTACTGACAGGAGCAAGGGTTCGCTGGGAGGGATTTGTCTACAGCTGGAGGAGATCCTAGTAACCCTGGCTGCAGGGTAGGGGTGAGTACAACGTGAGTTTCCAGGGAGTTTCTGACGGCACTTAACTGTGTTCTGCTGAGAGACACTGTTTCAGAGATGCAGCCACATGGGCCTATCCTCTGAGGATGTCGCCTCCATGTGTGTGGGACTCTGACCTTGTCGCCCTCTGCAGGGTGTGATGGAACGAAGCCCGTTTTCATCTTCTGGCCCTGGACCTGGCACATAGTGCTCCGAGAATATCCTCCTGCCCTACCTTCACAGATCCTATACTGTAGTCGGTCTAGGCAATTGCCTTCCGTTTTTCTAGCCCTTGCTCAGGTAAGGGTTTTGTTGTTTCTTGTTGGTTTTTATCTCTTCTCCCTGGAGTACTCTGCTGTTATGGTTTATATCTGGGCATCCCCCAAAAGCCTCATAGGTGAAGCTTTTTGGAGGTGATTGGGTCGTGTTTATGAGTGGATTAATCCACTCATGAGTTTGTAGCTAAATGTGATTTAGGAGGTGAAGCCTAGTGGGAGGAGGTAGGTCACTGAGAACATGGTCTGGAAGGGTCAATCTTCCTCCCTATTCCTTTGCCACTATACTGTGAGCTCTTCATCCTCTGCCGTGTCCCTCTAGCATCCCAGCCCGACTTGCAGGCTAACTTTGTACTAACTATGTACTGAAACCTCTACAAACCTTAAGCCATAATAAACTTTTCATCCCTTAATTTGAGGAAGTCACATATTGTATCTCAATGACAAGAAAGTAACTAAGATAGCTGCCAAGTCCTTTGTCTCCATAGAAGTCACGAGCATGGCTCCTGCCTGACTTTTGGGGGATGTTTTTCTTCATCTAGACTTCCACAGACTGCAGGGCACTGGAGATGTAGCCATGGATGACACAAAATGCAGCCCTCAAGAAGCTTTTACTCTGGAGAGGAGACAGACAATAATCACGTAAGCGGTAAACACATAACTAACAGATCAGCAAAGCTATGAAGCAAACGGTACAGGATACCAGGGTGTGTGAGGTTGGGAAAGGCCTAGGAAGGCTCCTGAGGACGATGGAGGAAGTAGGGGAGCATGTCATGCAGTGTCAGGGAGCAGAGTGTGGGGGCGGTGGAGCAGACTGTGGCTGGAAAGTACTGGGGCCATGGTGGCTTGGGGGAGACAAGGAGTCTATCTGGATGGAGATGGAGGAGTAAGGGAGACAGATACAATGAAGTGCTAAATGGGGCTGCTGGGGTTAGGTAGAGGTGGAAAGAGTACAAGCCAAGAAAGGACTTTGGATTTTACCGTGTACATTAAGAAGCTCCCTCTGGTGCCAAAGCATTCTAGGAGAGTGACAATACAGGGCTTTCTTGTTAAAGCCATGACTTTGTATCTGTGTGGGGAATGATTGTAGCAGTGTGGACACAGTGAACAGTGGTCTGATTCTAGAAGGCAAGATAAGGAGGAAGAGCTGATGGCTAAGAGTGAGAAAGGCATGACGGTAACCCCAGGTTTTGCTTTGGGCACCTGTAGGTGAGAATAGAAGAGGCTGTGGTGGGAGCCAGCTAGAGAGGGGACAGTCTGCCCGGAAGGAACCCATCTGAGACATCTGGGCCCGGGCTCTTTGGATTCAGCGGCTCGATACAGCTTGTCCTTGCATGGTATTGTCTGTGGTAAGTAAGCTTGCTTGTTGCACTTAGACAACAGGAAGGAAGTTTGTAGGCTTTGGGAGGTAGCTGCTTGATTAAGTGAGGACTTTGGTTATAAACAGACAGTGCGGCCTCAACTACAGAACGCAAAAGGTCCAGACCCAGCTCAGCCACTGTGGTTGAAGACATCTACAGGATGGGAAAGCACTGTGTCTTCTGAAACAATAGAGCCTGCTGAAATGTAAACAGCACCCCTTCCCATGATGTCATGGCTCGGACATTCCCCCTCTCCTCCCTCTCCAAAGAGGAGCTGCATGTAAGCAAACGAGAGGGCCTGTGAGCGGGGAAGGGGTCAGCACCTCATTTCTGAATCATTGGATATTGTCATTTGAGGCTTTGTTTCGGTTACTGAGTGATGCTAGTGACTATGGGGAAATGCTGCCGTGCTCCTCCTTTGAGAATGTTGCCACAGCTCTGGTCTATGAAGGAAAACGAAGATCCACAAATCAGTCAGTGGGTGGAGAGCAACTAGGTGCCCTCTGGCCAATTTCAATCTGAAGGGTGCTGGCCTTAACAGGAATATAATGACAGGGGAGTCTAGTGTCTGTGGAGGGCTTCCTGTATAGTTGGCCCTATCCTACGCACTTGTCATAGATTATTTTGTCTAATCCTCATACCTGACCAATGGTATTACTATCTCCCAGTCGAGGAAAGCTAGATTTTGAGAGATTGGCAATGTGTCTGAGCACACTAACTCTAGGAGTGGTGGGAGCAGGGTAGAAGCCATGCCCAACACAAGAGCCTTCGTGGTAGCAGCTGCCCTTGGCCAGGGCAGGGAAGAGCAGATCATGATGGACTATCTGCCATCCTAGTGCCACACAGCACAGAGATCTTCCATATATACTCATAAGCTCAGTTTGGAACCTCAGGGATGAACGGAACACAATCCTTTCCCTCAGGGAGTCCATGGTTGTTATGATTAGGTCTCATGTGTTCGGTGTGGGGCTTTTGGAAGTTGCTTGGATTCTGGGGTACTATATTTATCAGTGGATTAATCTATTGAAGAATTTCTTAGCTGAATGTGCTGTTAGGAGGTGGGGCATGGTTGGAGGTGGGTCCTTGGGAGCCATGACTTGGAAAGATATATTCTTGTCCCTGGATCCTGCCTCCTCCCTTCTCTCTCTCTGCTTATTGACTGCCCTTGGTCAAGCAGCTTTCCTCCATCATACCCTTCCACCATGCTGTTTCTGCACTGGAGCCAGTTGACCATGGACTGAACCCTCTGAAACTGTCAGTCAAAACAAAGCTGTCCTCCTTTAAATTGCAGGTATTGGAGCCAGGTGTGATGACACACTCCTGTAATCCCAGCACTCGGGAGGCTGAGGCAGGAGGATTGCTGTGAGTTCGAGACCAGCCTGGGCTACATAGTGAGTTCCAGGTCAGTCTCAACTACATAGTGAGACCCTGTCTCAAAAAACAAACAAACAAAAATAATAATAATAAATTGCAGGTATTGGGTATTTGATCCCAGAGACAAAGTGAATAACACAGTGGTCTAGCAAAATAAAGATCATGTGCTAAGCCCACCACCGTGATCCACGTCACAGTGCTAATCCTTGTTCAGTAATGTTTTTGAAGAGACAAAGGTAGAGAAGTGAATTCTGCTGGGTGATGACATTACTGGATTGAAATAAAATTGTTCGTGCAATGCTTAATCAAAAGCATCAGTGTGGATGAACCATGAGCACTATTGACTATTGCACTAATGCGTAGTGCTTGGCGTGTTACAGGTGCTTGGTAACATTCATGTGAACAAGGGAATGGGTCACCAAAGGGAACAGGCTGCTACACCATAGGAATGGCAGCCCTAGCAAGACAGACCATCTATGGGAGGCTCCAGAAGGCTCAGGGAGACTTGTCCATGACTTGCCCCAGCCCTGTCCTGCACCCTGGGAGAGGACCGCTCTTTGGAAATTTGTATTACTTTAAATGCTGCAGATGCATGTGCATCTGAGCACCAGCCCAAAGCCCACCAGAATGAGGTTCTTCCTGATTAGAGTTCCCCTCCCAGGAGTGACCAGAAGGACTTCCTCTGACCAGAGGACTCGGAGAAAGCAGGTGTGTCCAGAATGTAGAAGGTTTTCCAAAGGAGCCCATCTTCTGCCCTCAGATGTAATATGCCCACTTGGCCAGGAGCAGAGAGCAGCAGAAGAAGCAAGAGTGCTCCTAGGACAGTTCACCGACCTTCCTGCCCATTGCAGGGCTCAGGTGGAACCTCTAGGGCCTTGAAGACATTGAGAATAAATCGGTGCTATATTCTTTCAAAGAATATTTAATGAGCACCTACTTTGTGGCACAAAGTAGACCCAAATTTCTGCTCCTGAGTAGCCCATCTCTAGTTCTCTGAGAAACCCCTTCCCCACTCCATGCAGAAGGTTCAGCCTGAGGAGGCTGTGTCTCCTCTGCTCCGGATAGGTGCAGATCAGAACTGTCAGGAGGGCCTTGAGTAGTAACCGGCCAAGCTGGCCTTTGATATTCCTAGCTACAGGGTTGTTTCGGTCTGTGTCTTAGTCACTTTCTTCAATCCTGGGACAAACACCTGACACCCCCAATTTAAAGGAAGAGAGGTTTATTTTGGCTCACGGTAGTAGCCCATGGTTGGCTGGCATGATAGAAGGGCTTGGGTGAGGAGAGCTGCCCTGTCACAGCAGTCAGGAAGCAGAGAAAGAAGGGAGAAACTCGGGAGGGACATGCACCCTTCCAGGTCACCCTCCTGTCCAGTGATGCACCTCTTCTAACCAGGCCCCACCTCCTGACAGCAAGCAGGCACATGGTCTTTGTTTTCTGGACCACAGTGTTCATCACTTTCCCATCACTGGCATCGTGATCCCATCACCTTTCAAAAACCCCACCTACAAATGCATGAGCGTTTCGGGGTCATTCTTGATCGAAACCATAATATTCTCTCTGTTTGCTGTCAGTACTTTTAAAAAGTAGCAGGATAACCAAAAGAAGAAGACATGAACATAGTACCTATGACTACAGATTATGCAGTGGAGTTTCCTACATTGGGAGGAATCACAGAGGTTGGCACATCCCAGTTCAGTGAAAAGCCTCACCCTGGGAAAACCACCTTTGTGATTTGTATGGCTCCTGCTAGGTGTTGTGTGTTTTGTTCATGAATATTACCCGAATCCCACGTAAGCGGTGTTTTATTAGCACAATTATCCGAGGCCTTTCTAGGCATCTAATGCCTTCCCACATATCAGGGTTTGTCAGCTGGTCACCATTACCACTGGAGAACAGATAATTCTATGTCACGGGGGATCTTCTGCACCTTGAATGATGCTTACTGTATCCCTAGTGTCTACCCATTAGATGCCAGTAACAACAGCCTCCTCAGTTCTGAAAAACAAAAATGTCTCTAAACTTTGTCACACATCACTTAAGGGACTAAATCACTCCACTTGAGAACCGGTGTCATTTATTTTGATGGTACAGTATTAAGAAATCCTGTTTCACAAGGCGAAACTTGTGATTGGCAAAAATGTTTTATTGTTTGTTTTTTAATCAGCTCTCCTGACTCTCCCAGGGCCACCTTTAATTAAATAGAAGCTTTATTCCACAGTAAGGGTCTGCACAGAAACAGGGGCCCAAGTTAAATATGTTGATAGTTTCAGTACACTAAAATTTGTGTGTAATGCATTTGAGTGGGTGTGTTGTTTTTATTATAATTCTGAAAAATAGAAAAATCTTCATGTTCAAAACATTCAAACCAAATGTTGGCAGATCCCCTGAAGCCCTTTGGGAGGCCTCTTGGAGCCAGCATGTTGGTTTCACAGGGAGAGGATTTGATCATTGTCACAGGTTAGAGCTGGAGGGTAGGGTGTCTGGGTCCCATCTGCTGCTCTGAGACCACTCAGTCTCATCAGATGTAGCCTTGAGAAGGTAGAAAGGCCATGTGAGGCCTGGGAGAGGGCCCAGAATTAAAATAAAGGAAATCAGACTCATTCAAGGGGTGAGCACAAGGAAAGAAAGGCCTCTAGTCTCAGGCAGTACTAAGAAAGAGACTGTAATCTTGGTGACGCAGGGCCAGGAGGTTAAACCAGAATAATCATAATGAAAACAATCTGTTTGCACTATTTGATGCTTCCAGAAATTCCCAGGAGTGAGTCCAAGGTGGAGAATCCCAGCCGGAAGTGCTGCTGGTTGGAACTGAGAGGGTGGTAGTGGGACAAGAGGCCAAAGGAAAGCGTCTTTGTCAGCTTCCGAAAATGGGGGTGTGAGGGTAGCAGCCCCCCAGGAGAGCAGCAGCTGGGGGAGAAGAGGGGGGGTCCCCGGGCTGCAGAAGCCACAGCTGGCTTTAATGTTCTTGGAAGAAGAGTCCTTTGCTGGAATCAATTTGTTCTCCCTCTGAAACTGGGAGCAGATTTCAGGGCTTGCTCCTCAGGAAATCTGTCTAAAATGAGGTGGGACAGCAGGCCACAGGCCACCTACCACTACACCCATGGGGATTTATAATAGACAAGGGACTCCAACACTGTCTGTTTACATTTTCTCAGCTTTAGGAGCAGTTCTCAGTGGGAAACTGGCCCAGGACTCACAGAACAACAGCCTGGAGTACAGACATGGCCTACGTCTGCTGTCCACAAGGGACTCCTTCAGCTGCGTCTCTTTGGAGAATCCTGTTCTTGTCATACAACTGACCAGTTTCCAAGTGTCAGAATTTTGCCCCAAGAGAGACCTTTGGAGATAATCAGGTCCAAATCCTTATTTTACAGATGGGAACATGGAGGCTGAGCCAGGTGACTTTTCCTAGATCACGTGCCCAGGGACTCAGCAGCTTTGTGCTCTTCTAAATTCACCACCTGCTTTCTGATGGGGAAGGTGACCTCACAACTGGATCAGCAATCTGAAACCAGATCCTCACAACTAGAGTCACACAACTAGATCAGTGATCGGAAATCTTCTGAGACGCAGTGGATGCGTTTGTGGTGTGTGTGTGTGTGTGTGTGTGTGTGCAGTTAGGGTTGTGTCGAACCCAGTATGATGGAGAGGACACCTGCATGGCACATGCCTCTGTACTGCTGCTCACAGTCATCTGCTCATGGATACACTGTGCCAGGTTCTGGGATTAGGGTGAGTACTGGGGAGAGGGCCAGTGCCAGGGTGCCATGAGTGTTAAGATCCAGGCAGTCTTGGATGAAACTGAGGAATGTCTTCAGGGGTCTTTGACTGGGAGAAATATTGGATTGGGTTCAGGGTGATCAAAGAAGTTACCTGAGAAGAGGAGGTCCATGAAGGATACTTGGAAAGTCACTGATGAAGAGGAGGTTGGCGAAATTCTCCAGGGAAAAAGAACAAGGCCTGGAAGCTGGAAAACAAAATGCATGCTTGGGAAGTGCCCAACAGTCCACACTGGCTGCAAGGGCAGAGTTTATATGGGAAGAAGATGGGTAGCTGGTAGACATCTCTGGAACATTTGGCATTTCCAACACTGTGCTGGTGCTGGAGACCAAGGTGGAGGAGTCTTGAAAGTCCACCATTAGTTTTCTTCTCTTAATTTTTCCAACAGACTTACAGACACCCTGCTCTATGCCCTGAATTCTGGGAGAAATGAAGCATGGCCGGACTCTTGTACCACAGGGTCAGATCCACAGGAAAACCCAGGACTGAGTCCCCAGGAATGTCAAGGATGGCTTTCAGGGAATTGATCTGAATTCCCAGCCTAACCCTAACTCCCACATACTGACTTCCAATGGTTCCAAACTCAGATCTTTGTTCACTGTCTACTCTGGGGAGTGTCTACATTCCTAGAAGACACATATGTATTTCCTCTGCTTCCAAGGAAGATTCTCAGAGGACTACAGCTAAGAACCATCCGTCTGAGCACATACCTATATCTTAGTGTGCCAGGGGAGCTCAGAGCTCACAACTACCTGGGAAAAGGAAGTCAGGGCGCTGAGTCCTGGGCCAAGGGGGTCTCCATGAAACTTAGTCTGACTCCTTGTACCATGGCTCTCTCCATGTTCCAGGCAGAGAGAATCCCAGCTTACTATTATCTGTGCTTCACATCAAGAGCTGATCTCATGGGCTGACCTCAATATCTCTCCCCAGGGCAGCAGGGGACCAAAGAGGGTCTGCAATGACATGCAGAAAGCACTTGAGCCCTCCTGCTGTTGAAAATCCTCCTTTGGCCTTGGCCGGGCAGATGGGGCCACAGGGGCTTGGAGAAGGTAAGTGTGGGCTGGGGCTGGATGCCCACTTCCCACTAGGCCCTGTCTGAAGCTTTACTCCCAGCTGCAGGTGACTCCCCATTGAACACAGGCCACATGTGCTCTGCTCTGCACAACTAAACGGATCAGTTTCCAAAACCAACTGTGAGGTTTCCTGAAAAGCTCTTTAGGGTGGCAGCCTTCAAGGCTCTTGGCAGGGCCCTGCTGGGAAAGCAGCAAGCCAGCCCTTCCCTGCAATGTACTTGTTTGTGGCTGACCCTGGCCAAAGGGGCCTTCCTCTCCTCGTCAGGGAAGGATGTTGGAAGGGTGGAGAAGGTCCCGGGGAGGGAGCGCTTTAGCCCTTCTGGGAACCACCCAAAAGGAAGGTGCTCCTGCATGGCCCTGCCCTGCGCTGAGCCTCACCCACCTTGCTTTCAGTAGGACTCTAGTGGGGAACAAATGGGCCCCAGCTCCTGAGCATTTCAGGAAGCAGAGGTCAGCACATTCCAGGACTCGCCCTTTCTGCCTTGGTCAAGTAATCATAGTAGGTGGAAGGCCCAGGCCTCCTCCTGTCCCCAGGCTGCTGTAGGAGATGGCATTGTGCAGGGTGGGAGACCGGTGGCCCCATTCTGACAGGTTTGGCCTCTGCTGAATGGGAACAAAGTCTGAGCCCCTTAGCTCCAGGAACTAGGGTTGCCGCTGGATCCCAGTCTGCTGCCTGCTCGTGATCCTGAGCCCCAGCCTCTGGGCAGCTGGCCAAGAGTCTATCTTTCTGCTAGAGTCCAAGCCTCACAGAGTCTAGTCCTACCTCACTTCAGGTATCCTCAAGTGTTCCTCTTTGGTCTCCCCTCAGGCCACACAGACTTCTCCGTCTCTCATGCCTCTGCCTGGAACATTTTCTACTGTGTCATCCTCTCACCAACTCCTACCTGTCCTTCAGCACCAGCTCCCCGGCCACTTTCCCAGAGTATCTACATGGACCCCGGGGGCGGGGGTGCTGATCTCTCTGTCCTGTATCCTGTATTTCTCCCCCACCGCACTGCTCTGGCCATAGTTGATCGCCGGGGACAATCTATCAGCTCTCTCTCCAGCCACAGGGATGCCAACACAATGCCCAGGTAAGTAAGCCAGGTGCTACTCAACCCTGCATATCTGGCAAATGGACAGTGGCATCCTCTACAGAGATTTGATCTCCAGAAGGTACTGCCCCAAGGCCCTGCAGGCACCTCAGGCAGTTCAGGGTGGGACAGGGGGCCCTGTTGTCACACTGAGTACAGGCCAGGACAGGTGCTGGTCAAGGGGATCAGAGGAGCAGCTGGATCCAAATGTCTTATAATAGGTTGGCAAGGGAGAAATAAGCCTGTGCAAGGACAGTGCCCAATAGGAATCACCAAGTGCCCTTTCTTTAACTAAACTCCCTTCTTGCAGGAGGCAGCCTTGGAATTCCAGGGTGCTCCTGCTTTCCCCTGGAGCCTAATTTTCTCACCTGTAAAATGATGAGACCTAACTGATCTGAATGTCAAAATATCAGCTGACAGTATGTTTTTTGTGAGGGGAGTTATTGAACTGAACATCATTTTGCTTTTTCCTTCTTTGCAGAACCTCAGGCCAGAGGTGAGGGTGAGGGCAAGGAATACTCCTGGTCCCTGGGAGGGGGAATTGCCTTCCTCATGATGGTAAAGGATTACATGATTCATAGTTTTTGGTGAGGTTGGTTCTGGGAAGAAATAAGAAACAGGTTCCTGCTAACTTTGCGGAGAGGACAGTTTTCCTTTGCCCTTCTGAGCCATGTTGTTCAAATGCACACTAGGACCCTTACACTGGAAGGTACCAAGAAAGAGAAGGTGGAATGATCCAGCTCTGTCCTCGGGGGGCACCCTCCCCAGGGAGCAGAGTTGTGCACAAGGACGAACTTTCTAGGCAATTCCTAAGTATGGGAGGCCCAAGTGTAGTC